TGCACAACAGAGCCAGTCTCCTGACCTTACGATATACAGGACACTTTGGTTCTTGGGATGAGAGATTATACATGTAGCTTAGATGCTGCCTCACACACTTTGCATAATAAAACATTTATATGCTGTCATGAAGAGGGTGTAAAGTCTAAGTCACACTGCAGGCTGGCTGTTCTCAGCTTCTCCATTCAGGCAGGTGTGAGAGACAAGTTGTAGATATGCCACCAGTGAAAGCATATAAATGTGTCTGGTGCAAACGTTTTACAAGAGTATTTATAAATGATTCAACAAGGGAGAGCAAGAAAGAGAGTGAGAGCTAAAGTGCAATTTTAAAATAATATAAATAATTGAAACGTAGAAATAAGATACTAATTAGTTGTAACTGGTTTTGTTTTATAGGCACAGTTTAGTTTTTATGTCTACAGATCAATCTTTTTCTCTTCTTCCCCCTCCAGTAATTTTCTCTGATGGATAATGGAGTTTCAATGGTCTAAATCTAAGGAACACTGCTTAGTAAGAGGACAGAAGAGGCAATGATAAGGCAGTATAGTGCAACTCACTATGTGATACCAGAAAAGAAACAAGGATGGGGTTAGATCTTCCATGGTGATGTATAAAATCAGCCTTATAAAAAAAGAGGGAAAAAAAAAAAGACAGGCTTTCCAGTCATATGTTGACCCGTGCTTTCTAAAATGAGAGAGCACATTTTGCAATACAAAGGAAACAACTGAAGGTTCGTAATTTGTTTTGCTGTTACCAAAAAAAAAAAGGGAAAAAAAAAAAAGCAGATGCTGCTTTAAGGAAAACTTTTCATACTAGGAATTTCTGTACAACTGACCTCAGCGAGCTTTTCCATCTTAGATGGATGACTTCTGCTTGAGACCCTGAAAGATTAAGATGCACGCACACCTAGAGTAGTTTATTGCAAAACTAATATTGTAACTTAAAAAACACAAACAGATTCTGTACAAGAATACTGTTCAAATGGAATGTGTTAAAATAACATTTATTAATAAATACTTAATAAAATTCTATGTGAATACTAAATTAATAGATTCCTGTTTTAAAATTGCTTTGGTCCTCATGAATTTTCATAAATTCACTCTATACGCTTTTTTTTTAAAAAAGGTATTAGCTGCTAAAAAGCACATTTTGCCTAAACTAAAAGGCTAGTTTTCAACACTAAATATTGTTGCTTAAAAAAATATGAATCCTCAAAAGTTGGGCATTTAACAACAGTTATAGCTGGCGTGTTAGTTAACAGGACAGAGTCAGTTAGCACACTAAATCCACACGCACTGAGGCACTGAACCATTGACTTTCCACTATTCAGAAGACGGGCAGCAGACATTTAGCTTCGTAGCAGGAATTAACACCCAACAGCGTGAAATTCTCCATAAATCATCACCATCATCATCATCATCGTTGTCCTTACAAAACACACCATGATAGCACACAAACTACTTGTCTCCCACAGGCAGCGTTACGAATATGGCTTGCATCAATCGAGTCAGGGAAGGGGGGGGGCTGGGGATGCAGGAACCGGATCAGAGCATCGTTCCTTTCCGATCGAAGTATTGCAGTTGTCCGTGGCTGAGATTTCCAGCGCGCTCCCCATGTTGCGCGATGAGAGGTGCCGTCCCCCGCAACGCCTCGTCCGGAGAGAGCGGCTGGCCGAGGATCGCTGCCCTGCTAGTGCTGGCGAGGGAAGCGGTCCGAGTCGTCCGCCGGCAGCGGGATGGGGCACGGGATGGGGCATGGAGCCCGGCAAGCCCAGCAGCGGGCTGGATTGGTGTGACAGGAAGGAAGCGGAGCAGCCTCCAGTAGTAGCTCATGGAAAAGCAGGATTTATCCTCGATGGAAAGAGCCCGGGAAGTGCATTTAGAGTGACGTGCTTAGGAAGAGGCTGCCACCACCGACGGCATGGCAGAGGGTCATCCCAGGGACAGAGGGACAGGGGCTTCTCCCGCAGCCTTTGCTCAGTCAGCCTCCGGCACCTGGCCGGGCTGGCAGCTTGAGGAAAGGCTGCAGGATCACGCTCCTGGAAAACAAGAGCATTTTAATGCAGAAGCAAATCTGATGAATAATATAAGGTGCCTGGTACGGTTGGTCCTTTTGCCGACGATATAGCCGATATAAATATGCTGCGTGTTGTCTTGGCCTGTGAACCTGCGACAGAGTTACAAGAAGCAATAGCAAATAGCTTTTCATCCTTTACTTATTTCCACATCACTAGCAAGGATTATACCTAAAGGCCAATAGTATAGAGAGGAGACATTTCATTGTAATTACACATTTAGGCCAACATGTGTGGTTGGCTTGCCTAGTTAGCATTAAAAAAAGAAATAATTGAGCTATATATAATACACATCAGTCAAACTGTCAAGTTGCTGAATTTAACAAAACTTAGGCAAGGTTTTTGTATTTTTTTCTTTTTTTTTTTCTTTTTAATGTAGAGGCTTTCAGTTTAACAGCTAAATAATTTATTTGAGGAGACTGAATAAAATGAAGCTAAACCGTAATTCTAGTGCAGTGTAGCTCAACTGGGTATTCTAATATTACCAAAAACTTTTGATTTTTATTTTTTAATGTATTTAAGTGCTACCCATATAGACAGAAAGTTTTTTAAATTAACCCTGCAATGGCATTTTCTTTTTCGTGGTGAATGATGAAATTCAGACACAGGGGAAATGCTTATTTGGGTTTTTTTTACACAGTGGATACTCAGCTGGAACATTTTGCTCAACTGCATATTTGAAAAAAGTTCCCTTGGGAGCCATGATGAAGCAAAACCATTTAGCTATTACAACTGGAGGTTAAAAAAAATTATAGACTCAGTATTTAAAACATTTTAAAAGTATATGTTTGTCTAAAATATAATAGAAAATCCTTTACATTTGTATTTTTTCATAATTTTTTTTGGTTCTTAGACTATATAATCAAGTCAAGATTTACACTGTACATTAAAAATCTTCTTCTTTTGAATGTATTTGCATAAATGGAAAGCGAGCTGTTAAAGAATGCTGACTAAAAGTTAGTTACCAAGATAAGAACTAATTCGGAAACAAACAATCCTCAGAATTTTGCTTTCCCTTCCAGGCAGGCCCTGCTCCTTACGGTGCCTCATGCTTCAGCTGTTTCACTCTGCCTCCCGCATGCAGAAGAGCCACCCTTTTAAACCTCACAACTCCTCTAAATACCAGAGACACACCCTTTCAGGAGGAGAACTTCGTTTCAGAATAAAGTCTGCTGAGGGCTAGAGGATTTGCCAGGAATAACGTGAATTAGCTTTTGCTATTAAAGCTGCAGCTCAAAATGTTTGAACATTTATCACCAGCTTTCCGGGGAAGCAGCGGGAGGTTTTGTTGCTGACAGATTTGAGAGCAAAATCAGGTCCCAATATACAGCAAGGCAGCGTAATTAATGGGCATCATCTCCACCTGATTTTCCCATCAACCACTTATGCCACTCGGGGATGCAAATCAGTCGCGCTGAGGGGCAGGGGCAGAGTCCAAACAAAAACCTGAACCTTTTCCAGACCCTCTTTGCAGGACTGAATTTTATCCAGAGTGTAGTGGGATTTGCCATTCTTGCAGCACTTTTTAGCGGCTGCATGCCTTCTAAAAATTATTTAGCGTCCTAATGAGACAGTTCCTCACCCGCGGTTAACGGGCGTTAAGTGCCATTAAAGTCAGTGAAGCTACATTGCTGTCTGCCAGCTCGGGGTCGCTCTGTAGACGCTTAAAGGAACGCCTGCAGAGAGCAGGTCTTTTCCTCGGAATTAAAAATGGCATTTTTCCAACTGGTCAGCACCGTTACGCTGATTTATTACTCATTTATAGCCCACGAAACTTGAGGCTGTCAGCTTTCGTTGCCACAACAACGCAACCGGGTTAGGGAACAGAACTTTTCTGAATTATTATATGCTACATGTTTTTTAGTTTGTTAACAATGTTTTTTAGTTTGTTAACAACTGGCAGTGCAGAAGAATTGCTGTGATTCTCAGGTGTTGCTTGCTACGCCTGTACCGCACCACAGAAGCTCACAGGGCTGCTAGCATCAACACAGCTGGCTCTCAATCCCGCTTCACCTGGGGCTGCACTGCTTTTGCCTCTCGCTGTTTATTAAAAACACTAAATCAGGAGCGCTCCTATTTTTTAAAAGCCGAATGCTTGGCGTAGCCCAGCTGCGGGTGAAGAGCTAGTGAAAGCAGCAGCCATGCTGACAGTTTTTAGGTGGGCTTGAAGTTTTTGCTTGTTCATCACCATTCTTTGAGAAAAAGAGAGGGAAGTGAGAAAGCCTTGGAATGGAAAAAAGAAGGAAAAAAAAGCTGAGGGAATGAGAAGTGTTTGGGAAGGGAATAAGGAAGGTGTAAAAATAACCAGAGGAGAAAAAGGGCAGGGTATGCGAGAGAGGAGAAGGGGGAGGGCTAGACAAAAGAGCACGTTAATTTGGGCTTGATTTTGTCCTGATAGCCACATCCTATGTAACCGCGTTGAAAGAGGCTCTGAATGCAAGATGGGGTCTGCTGATAGCACGCTAACTCATTTTTTATTATGCTGTCAGCAGATGCCCTCTCTCTGTATTTATAGCCTAATTACTCCTAGTTACCTACATGAGACTCTGTTTAATACTTTTCATGCCTCATGTTGGCTAACAAGCTGCAGTTTAACACAACTCCGTATTTCTGAGGCTTCAGGCTAGATTGGTGAGAAGCAAACGTGACTATGTACAGAAACAGTTAGGTTTATAAACAAATAACTGGTACCAAAAAAACTGGAGAAAGCACCAAAGCATTTCTCAAGCTGATAGCATATTAATTGCATAACTCCCTTTTATGTAACTAAGTATAAAAGACATTTTAATAACTATAAAAATGAAAGTCAGAGTCTTTCAAGAACTGAGGAATCTTCCAGGCTTGAGTTAAGGTTGCAGATGTCCTTAGCACAGAGGACGCTTTGATACGCTACCACACTCCCCTAGCAGTTTCTGATCAACCACTTTTAAAGGATGGGGTTGATGTCTGTTCTGTGGCTGGCGAGCTGGGTAAGAGTGGAGCTTCCCACGACGTCGCTGACGGACGAGGAGGTCGTGATGGTGTTGTGCTGGATGACCTGCTGCTGGGAGCAAGCTGGGACCGGGCTCGCGGGAGGACTGCTCTCGGGACCTGGGAAGGGGGCGGGGGGACAGAGACAACACACATTCAATTATCCATCCCACTAACAAGCCCAGGCTTGGCGACACTCCTGGAAAAGGGATGTACTACTACGGCAGCAATACTAACAACCTGAGGCACGCACAAGTCACAGGATTTCAAGATACACAGTTATCCAACGCTTTCCGTCTTCTGATCTTTTGCAGGCTTTTTTTGTTCTGATTTTTTCTTTTGTTTAAAGCCAGCTTCTCTGGTATCAACCTGACTTCAAGAGTTGGGAACTTGAAAAAAGTCCAAGACCTTAACGATTGTGAAAACAATGTCAGGATAAAAAGTCCAATATCTTGAGGTCTACAAAATCAGGTGGGATGCTTAAATGGTTTATTTGCTCCAGCAGGAATCAAAATCAGAGTGCAGTGCACTGCAGTACAGAAAATCTAATTCAAGCAACAGTTGACAGGTGTGTAACACAATTATGTATTTTTTCTCTGAGCACTGTTAAAAAGCCAGATGCATAGTGATGCAGAGGAGACAGAAATTGGCTCTTATTTTAAGAGAATGCCGCAATTTAGCAAATATTAGCCCGGAGGCTCTTCTGAGCCGTTCTAGTGCCAAGCAAAGAATTTGTCCCTAAATTACCACAGTCCTAAAATGCATCAACTAGCCAGAATCGATTTAACGTTTCCATCAGATGAGATTTTTTTGAAAAAAAAAAAAAAAAAAGAGTTTAAAAAGAGATGACAAACCTTGAAAACCTGTGCCGCGCCTGGCCTGCGCCACTGTCAGAGCGCAGTACCATTTTCGCTGGAGGGGACTGTAATGTTTTCCTTTTTTAACTTCCCTTTTGAGAGTTACTTTAAGGTGCTGGTAGCGTTGCGCCCAGGAGGACTCTCTGCAGGTTTGGAGCTGTGAGTTCAAGCGGGATCCTCCCCAGGGCAGCGAGCGTCCATCCGTGTGCATCTCCTTGCGGAAGGGAGGGGTGGGGAAGGCTAGCTCTGCTGGGTGGGATGGAAACCAGGGCTTTCGGGGGTTTGAGCGGGGCTGGATAAATAAGGGCAGGAGACTGGACGGCTCAGATGGTGTTTGAGAAGACAAGTTCAAGTGATAATATGACCAAGAAGAGGTTTTGGAAGGAAGAATTGGAAACTTTGCTTTCCTGTGAGGAGTGTGGAGGCAGTGCAAACATACCAGCTACTTACTTAGATATCCTTGCGATTCTTTCTGCATAGCTGTTATCGGACAGTCTTTATGTGTTAGCAATAACTGTTTCAGCTGTGCTACCTCATTTTTCAGCATGGAAACCTCGTTCTAGAAAAGAAAGAGAGGACTTGGTTTGCCACAAAGCTTAAATCAGGCTCTTCTGCAAAGTTTAAACCCAAGAACACAGACAGTTCTCTGCAACTTCGGAAAAATTGAGCAAAAATGGCACTCAGTGCTCATGTGCTAGGTTTATGCTAACACTTGTCCATGACATTATTTTAGAACTTCTTCTGAAGGCAATTTGGCTTCCAGATTTGATGACATAAACTGACAAATGAACTAACTTCAGAGCACCAGAGATACTTGAGGCAATGTTTTAATCCACTCAGGAAATACTCTGGCTCTCTGCATCAGGGCAGGGGGCCAGAACCATGGGGGCAAACGGCAGCCTGCGCACTCGGGGGCACAGTGGCAGGGCTGCTGTCACCTACGGCGTGTCACCTACAGCTCTGCTACAGCTGGTGCCCGGGTGCTGCTCACACCTCTGTGTTTGGGTGGAGGATGTTCTGGGGGAGTGCCATCACGTGAATGGTCCTTCTGCTCTTGGCAGCGCACAGGCACACTTCTGGACGGGGCAGAAGTACTGTGCCCACCATAAGAAGGGCATCACCATAAGGAGGGCTTTTATTGTATTAATGCAGGATATTTTCATCCATTTACTTCATTCTTTTCGCTACTGGTAGACTGAGCTATTTACTCTCCTATCTCGCTGGCTTTGAAAGAGCATTTAGCTACATGCCCTGCTCTGAAGAAGTGTTTTACAGCCGAGTTAATGGCACTTCCAAGAAAAAATCCCCACAAAAAGCGGTGACAAGAAAAGAAAATAAATACAACTCTGTCTAGTGAAGGCTTCTAAATCCCAAGACAGCTTTTTCCTGGCTTATCCCGCTAAAATGCAATTATTTCTTTAATTGAAGCACACACATCTTGATTAATCGACCTTGATTATGCCCGCGCTCGGGGCCGGCTGTGCTGGGGCAGCCCCGAAAGC